CACTCTTCACTTGGTCGAAGATATAGAAGAGTACACCTATATATATATATATATATATATATATATATATAATTATTAATAGTTATAATAAAGTAAAATTATTCATGAAGGGAGATGACCGTAATTAATATAATAATATAATAAGGACAAAACTAATTAGCTACACTAGCAACTTAATTATCAATTAATTATAATTTATTTTAATAATTAATATAATCTTAAATGTCGATTTTTATTGCGTAAGTTATTAATTTTAGTTTAGGGTATAGGTTGAGTTATAATATATATAAAACTTATTGTACAAATTACTTCCAAATTAGTAGAAATGTACAAATTAGAGTGTACTTTACATATGGGTATTGTTATTTGTTAATGTAGAACATAAAAGCTGATCAATACATACTAATAATAACTGTATTTAAGATGACAAATTAAGAAAGGTGAGGTTATAGATCACATGAGAAGAGTAGGGAGAGGGAAATCAATTTTCAAGTGATATCAAACTAAAAAGTACTAAAGCAAGAAAATCCAAATCATCACAACAAGGCTAAGAGTAAAATGGGTAAAACTAGTAGTCCTTTGTTTAATATTAATAACAAATGGAAAAAAAATTAACAATTGTCAAAAATTATTTATTTTAGAAAATTGGGAAACTAAATTTTAAAAAATATAAATTAAAAAGTTAAAATTATAGATTAAATATGATAAAGAATCCAAAACATAACTTAATTAATCTAAAAACTGATAAAATAAAATTACAAAACTTGTGAAACGTAGCTTAAAACTTAAAGGGTCTAGTGTGTGACCAAGTTTGGAGGGCAATCCATGTACAAACATGACAGTGTCAGAGGAGTGTTTTTGATTGGGTTAACAGTTTCATTTCGAAGCATCGTTTCCTCAAGTAATGCACACTCGAGTAAGATGCACGCAACATGCCTGAGTGAAGGCATCTAACACTAACTCAGGAACCTCGCATCAAAATCATCATCCTCACTTGCTGCCACCTTACCACCTTTGACATTATACTGAAGTCAATCAAAAAGGTAATCTAATGTTCTTTGTCCTTTTTTAGAGAGAAAAAACTCCCAAATCCAATAAGGGAAAATAAACAAAACTAGGCAATAAGCATACTCTCATTTTCATATCAACCTTCAATCACCCATTCATTTTTTTTTCATTTAATTTTACCTAAACAAGTCCATTTTTTCTCTGTATAAATAATTAACAATTCTTCAACTCATCATAACATTTCCCTGAGTTAGTTTATTTTGGTTGATCCAAAAAGTCAGCACCTTCCTCTATGCTTCTAATTTCCCCTTTTTTCTAAGTCTTTGTTCTCTCCCAATTTTCCTCCATTGAAACATAAGCACTAAAAAGAATTGTAAAAGAACACTATTTATATTATATATATGAAAAAAAGTAGTCATTAATCTTGATTTTCATCCACCTATTAATCACCTCCACTGAAGTAGTGTGAATTAACATCCAAGCAACATCCAATCTGTCCATATTCTTTGTTCTATTGTCAATGTGTACAAATCTACCAAAAATAGTTGCTATCTTAACTTTAAACTTTATTATTGTCATTATAATTCTTTTACAGATAAAAATAAATAAAGTTTGCCTTAATTACTTGGCAATAATAATTATTCCCTTTTACACTCAGGAAAAAAAATCCCTTTTAGCAAACCTCACTAGAGGAGTTAGAAATTTTGTAAATTTAGAGAACTATTCTGCGTCTGCAGCCTTTTATAGTAAATGAATAGTAAATATAGCATAAAATCCTAGCAAGTGAATTGATCCATATGAATATAATTCTAATCAGCTCTTTAATTTGTTCTACATGCTCTATTTTATGGTTCTTTTGATTTCTTTTTCAACTTGGGAGCAAATGATGGTCCTCCATCCCTGCTTGTACTTGAGTCATTGCTGTGTAGTATGAAGAATAATGTTGCGATGCTAACACGATAATTAGTACCTAACCAACTCAAGACTCATCACCTGGTCAAGTTGATTTTAGAATATTTGGTCTAGCTGAAATGCAGTTGCAAAATTCCTAAGCAAAAACAACTTTTATCCATATATAGAACATAGCTATCAAGATCACGCCAGCCAAGGGGAACAAATTGATTTATATATAATAAGAAAAGAAAGGTGAACACGGGAAAAAGATATGAAATCCGGAACCAGATTCATTTGAAACTGATTTGATTCCCCTCTTTGGCTTGTAGCAGTGGCTTGTCCTTCTTCATTTTGTGGTTCTAAAGAAGAAACTTTTGGCTACTGAGATTCGGCTATGAGTGAGCTACAACTACCACACACTAATCCTTATAAGTAGAGAGGACCACAGCAATTGGATGCTCAAGCTAATAGCTATCCCTTCCCTTATGGCCTCAAGCACTTTGGGCAAACAAAAGGTTTTTGATTCTTCTTGGACCCCAAAACAGAACAAGGTGTTTGAAAAGGCACTTGCAATGCATGACAAGGATACCCCTGATCGGTGGCACAATATAGCCAAAGCAGTTGGTGGTAAATCAGCAGAGGAAGTTAAGAGACACTATGAGATACTCTTGGAGGATCTCAGGCACATAGAGTCCGGTCATGTTCCCATTCCCAATTACAGATCCCCATCAACTTCCTTTCCTCTTTGAACAACACAGGTAAAATTACTAATATGCATATGCTTCCTAACTACAACTTTTTTCATTTTCTATCTTACCATTGCACTAACATCAACTCACTTTTTTGTTGTCCCTTCAAATGTTACATAACAAGTTAATAACATCTACAAATGTATAAAAGTTATGCGTAATTTTTTTATTTATTAAAATTAAATTATCGATAACTTAGTTCGAACATAATATTACTAGGTTGACTTTAATAATTTACACAACTATGTGTATATATATAACATATGGTCTCTATTTTGTGGCACCAAATTGATCTATGTCGAACACTATTTTTGGTTCATGTTTCAGTTTTGATGTATAATTACATGCTCATGATTTTTATTTTTGTTTTGTTTTTGATTATTTGGTTGTCCCAGGCTGCTGAAGTATCTAAAGTTTGAACGATTTGAAGCAATGCCTGTCTGAACACCACATATATGTGTGTGGTGTTTTATGAACCTGTATATCTTCCTCGATCTTTTTGTTACCGTTGTAATTTAGACCATTTTAATGAACTATGCTATTTTAGAAACAGTTTCAAGTTCTTAACTAAAGCATGAAAATGTTTAGAGGGAATAATCTAAGAAAGTCCACGGTCCTCCTCTAACCACTTCATGTATGTACTCATCTTACATATGAACTCTAGATTTTTAAATTAAGACGGAGAATAAAAAAAATAGATATGCACTTTTTAGAAATATTATAAATCAAGCAATAGTCTTTATTTTTCAATTTATCAAAATGAAATTGTTCAAAGATAATTTTTTATTTTATATAATTTGTCAAATTAGTTGTACATTTAATTTTTTTTATTTTTATTCTAATTTTAAAAAACCACCGGAGCAAATGCGGATTTTCCTTTTAAAATAATACGAAAGAAAATATGAGTCTAGTTTACGAGATATTTGAGTAATTTATAAACTTTATTGACTAGCTTATAGGTAGATTGATCAAAATAAAATTTACATTCTAAAATTATTAAAATTATAGTTATATAAAATAAAATACTAAATACAAATTTTATAATATATTAATATAAATATTGTGATATATAGTATAATATTATACGTGTATCCATGTGTGTGCATGTTTACGATATAAATCAATATTATATAATATATATTACTATATATTTTATAAATTAACTTATAATATTGTATATGTTAATTTTTATATATATTTAGCTATTTTGTATAATAATAATAATAATAATAATAATAATAATGATATATACTTTTTTATCTTATAATAAGTGTCTTATTAAAAGAAAAAATAAGTTTCAAAATAAGTTAATTATTAAAATTATAGTTATATAAAATAAAATACTAAATACAAATTTTATAATATATTAATATAAATATTGTGATATATAGTATAATATTATACGTGTATCCATGTGTGTGCATGTTTACGATATAAATCAATATTATATAATATATATTACTATATATTTTATAAATTAATATATAATATTGTATATGTTAATTTTTATATATATTTAGCTATTTTGTATAATAATAATAATAATAATAATAATAATAATGATATATACTTTTTTATCTTATAATAAGTGTCTTATTAAAAGAAAAAATAAGTTTCATAATAAATCATTCATTTGATATAAAAAAAATCAAGAGACACATGCAATAGAAGAGTGAGGTCAACCCCTTCATTATAGGAGATATTCAAATGAGAATAATAATAGTTTGGAACATAAAATTAAGTATTAATTATGTTATATTAACGTGTGTGTGTAAATTTTGTGAATTTAAAATACAACTTATATATTCAAATAAAATTATTTAGTATAAATTTTAGTCATGGTATAATTTATTTATAAAAAATATTTATTTATTATGATTTTAATTATGTGTAAAATAAAAATTATAATACATAAACGAAAATATTACTAGTTATTATAATAGTATTAAAATACAACACAAACTTTTATATTTATGCAATATAGTAATTAAAATATTTTTTACTCGAATATTCAAACACAAGACAAGTTTTCAACTCAAATACTCGATTATTAATTAAGCACATTAAAACTTACATTCCCAATGAAACGTATGTGGATCACCTTACACAAGTACTTTTCATGGACATTTAAAAGTTACTAATTGTAATTAATTTAATATTTAAAAATAATTTGATTAATGAACTTACTAGTTTTAATTTTCAATTCTGTTCGATAATTTGATTCAATACATTTTAATTCTTTCAAGTTTAAACGTTCTTACAACTCTCAAATATATTGTCAGCAAAGTGAACACATGCAAAAATTAAATAAGACTGAATGGAGAGAAATTAAGACCAATATTCCAATACATATATGAAGTTCCGTGCATAAACATAAGTGAGAATTTCTACGGTACCCTCTATAAAAGAAGGGTATCGATACCGTTGATGATTTGTCATTTACGTGTCATTATTTTAAATCCAAGTTATTTATAATTTTTTTTTTATTTAAAATTCACATCCACGTCAGATAAATGGTTAATATGAAGTTCATGTTTTTTAAATTTTTTTTCGGAATCTTTATGGCTTCCTGTTTCTTCCCTCTCTTCCCGGTTCTTTCACGCCGACGATCTGGCCCTGCAGACCGGCGAGCGAGACGACGAACTGTCAGTTAAGTTTTTTATTTATGTGAATTTTAAATAAATTAAAAATTAAAAATGAAAACAAAAGCGGACAGTGGGGTCGAGGGGTATGTCATCACAGGCAAAAGCAACCTTGGAGGGATCATGGTCGAGGGTGGAGAGGAAGGAGTAGTGGAGGGCAGAGGAGGAGGGGAGGGAGGAGCGGCAAATGGTTGTGGCGAGGGAGTTGAAGAAGTAGGGGGTGGGGTTGAGACAGAGGGGAGGGGAGTGGGTTTCGTCCATGAATTCAAGCTCGTTGAGGGGGTTGGTGGCAGCGTCAACGGTAGAGAGGTCAACAGGGCGGGATACGAGGGAGGGGCAGGGGAGAGGTGGGAGTAGAGGAGGGAGATGAAGGAGAGGAGGAGAACGACCACGGTCCACGAAGACAAGGTTACTATGGTATAATTATAAAAAAAAATTAATAAAAACTTAAAAATAAATAACATAAAAATTTAAATACAAAATAATTCTTATTCAAAGGGTTGACATGACATTTAAATGATGTGTAAATACACATGTATCGAAACCCCTCATTTATTGGGGGTACAGTAAGTTAGTTATTATGTGATTTTAGACACATCAGCATTCAAAGTTATTAATTACTTTATTTATAAAACTTTTTAAAATTAAAGAATTTAAAGAATGAAGATATAAAGATTGAGCCGTATCTTCTTGTTTATTCTCTTGATTTGTCTTCAAATAGGTATAAGAAACTCATCTCCTATTACCCTTTATATACTCGAAGACCCTTTGTTTTCAATTTCAACCGGTCACAACATTTTACTTTCTTTTTCTTCTTTGTGCAGAGCCGCAACTATCTTGTGCAAAATAATCGCATTATTACAGGGAGAGTAAAGTGTAAGAAGTGCCAGCAAGAATTCAAGATGCTGCTTGATCTAGAGGAAAAAGTGTCTAAATTACGAGAATTCGTTGAGAGGGAAAGAGAAAGAGAGATCTTGCGTGATAGGGCATCACGGGCTTGGCTAAATCTGGAGTTGCCAAAATGTTAGCAATTCGTTGAGAGGGAAAGAGAGATCTTGCGTGATAGGGCATCAAGAAAAAGGCCATTAATTGGTTGCTCTTATTGCTCAGCTAACTGCTAAGTTCTTGCACCATTGATCAACTCAAATATTTATGCAAGCACACCAATAACCATCCAACTGGTGCCAAAGATCACCTTCTTTACCTTACTTATATGAGTCTCTTGAAACAACTCGTCCCAGAATGGTTCGCTTAATTCTTGATTTAGCTGTACAATTCTTGATTTTTTGGTAGGCATTTAAATCTGAACGTTAGTGTTATCATCATAAATTCGTTTGAGGATGTCTATTTTTTCTATAAAAAAAATTCTTTCTGTATGAAGCTAAATCAAGAAAGAACAATATAATATGTCTTTGTTATATTCATGCAGAAAGAAAAAAAAATTCATTTATTTATGTACTTTTACGCTGTAAATGAAATGAACATTTTTTAAAGGGTGAACAAGATTTAATAGAAAAATAATGAAATATAACAGCCTCTGATTATTCACATTACAGATAACAAAGACATATTGTATTCATATAGAAAGAATTTTTTTTATAGAAAAAATTGACAGCTACAGATCTTAAACTACAAGCTAAATTATCTCCCTCATATCCTTGATATGATTTGACATTATTCTGCAATAAAAACGGACAAAATGTACGCCAGCAATAAAAACGGACAAAATGTACGCCATTATTTTTCTATTACATCTTGTTCACCCTTTAAAAAATGTTCATTTCATTTACAGCATATAGAAAAAATTGACAGCTACAGATCTTAAACTACAAGCTAAATTATCTCCCTCATATCCTTGATATGATTTGACATTATTCTGCAATAAAAACGGACAAAATGTACGCCAGCAATAAAAACGGACAAAATGTACGCCATTATTTTTCTATTACATCTTGTTCACCCTTTAAAAAATGTTCATTTCATATATAGCATAAAAGAACATAAATAAATGAATACAATATGTCTTTGTTATCTGTAATGTGAATAATCAGAGGCTATTATATTCCATTATTTTTCTATTAAATCTTGTTCACCCTTTAAAAAATGTTCATTTCATTTACAGTATAAAAGTACATAAATAAATGAATTTTTTTTTCTTTCTGCATGAATATAACAAAGACATATTATATTGTTCTTTCTTGATTTAGCTTCATACAGAAAGAATTTATTTTATAGAAAAAATAGACATCTTTAAACAAATTTATGATGATAACACTAACGTTCAGATTTAAATGCCTACGAAAAAATCAACAATTGTACGGCTATATCAAGAATTGAGCGAACCATTCAAGGACGAGTTGTTCAAGAGACTCATACAAGTAAGGTAAAGAAGTTGATCTTTGGCACCAGCTGGACGCTTATTGGTGTGCTTGCAGAAATATTTGAGTTGATCAATGGTGCAAGAACTTAGCATTTGAATGAACAACAAGAACAACCAATTAATGGCCTTTTTCTTGATGTCCTTGAGAATAGGTTAGATGCTATTTTCTTTTCCTCATTGTGAACATTTTGGCAACTCCGGATTTAGCTAAGCCACTAGTTCCCTATCACGCAAGATAACAAAGTTATGAAAATACAATCGTGTCTCCCATTCTATTGATCAATAGGTAATTATATACAAGTATATGACAACTACAGATCTTAAACTACAAGCTAAATTATCACCCTCAAATCCTTGATATGATTAGACATTATTCTGCAATAAAGAAGAATTAAAACGGACAAAATATACGCCAAATTAAAATGGACAAAATGTACACCAAATTAATTATTCCAATTAATTTGGTACCAGTTGATCTTTGGCACCAGTTGGACAGTTATTGGTGTGCTCGCAGAAATATTTAAGTTG